CGTCCGTCCTTCTGTCCGTCCGTCCGTCTGTCCGTCCGTATGTATGAACGCAAGGATCTCAGAACCTATAAGAGCTAGAGACTTGAAATTTTAGCTGTAGGTCCTGCCCGCGCAGATCGAGTTTGTTTCCAATATTCGATAACTTTCCCCGTTCCCAAGTAATCGATAAAAATCGATATCGAAATCCTGTTTTTTGAGCAAATCTCGTAAGTTTAAAGAGCTAGAGTCACCAAACTTGACATGTAGCTTCTAGAATAGTATATATATATATATCAAGTATCTTTAATTGTATAGCTATCGCCACCTCCCCGCTACCACATAAATCATGTAAATAAACCAATTTGTATTGCCCACCAATTTTAATGCAATTGGAATTTCGAGAATATAAAAATATTCTATAGGATCCGATGTTGAAAATTTAATCAAGATCGGTTAGGAAACACAGAAGTTATTAAAGAAAATGTGTGGTTATATATATATATATATATATATATATATATATTCGCGCTAGCTAGCGCAAATTGCAAGAATTTCTGTATACATGTACATAAACACATTCATACGCGTCCCTGTTGAATTTTATCAACAGCATTGCAATTGCGAATGTAATGTTTTCTGTGCTGCTATTTTAATCCGTTTTTGCTCATTAAGAATCAATTGTTGGTGTGGCTGTTGGGCAGAGGCGGTTGCAGGTATGGGAGCCTGTTACGCGTTCGAGTCCTATCCAGGGGACTATTTTTTTTTATTTGTTAATTTTTTATTTGCATTTGGTGTTGGTAAAAGAGGGTTAAGGGGATCCCATAATCGGGAGCTCCCGACTATAGCCTCTTACTTGTTTAACATACTGAATTAGGCTTAGGATATTTTAGAATGAAATTTTAAAAAACTAAATTTTAATAATACTTTTATTTGGGCTATTTCCATTATATAAATAATTGTAACATTGATGGAATGTGCATTAATTGATTCGCGGGTTCTATTATTCCAATCCGATAACATTAGGAATTCGAGTTCTGAAATAATTATCATATTTCGTGAAAGCGTGAAAACAGATGTTCTATATGTATTTGTTTTGTTATTACATTTTTTACTAAAATGCTTAGAACAAATTTAGTTAGTTAGCAAGTTTAGATTTCTCGAAGTCATCAAAATCTGGGGTCCTGGCTACAATTTTTAAAGCGGTGCCTAATAAATTAATGCTTCTAACATGTTGGTGATAGATATGCCATCTTAAATTGTCCATGTGGATCGCCGTATCTTTTATTAAGACTGTTGCATTCAAGACTGATACATTTTTTTCCATGAACAAAAAATTTGTTTCCAGGCCGTTTGTTTACTATTACAAGCCCTTTGTCTCCCTTTTTGAACTGTCAACATTGTCTTACTCCATTTAACCATTTTATTTGGAGCTGATGTGCTTTATCTTAAATTACTACGTGTAGTTCTGGGAAAGATGAGTAAATTTTATCAATCAAACGCTGTCCGTGACCGACTGAACAGTTTTGTTGCCTGGAGTATCGTCTCAAATTTGTCTGAGATTTTTTTCTTTGAGCCGCTAGACATTTCGTAATGTCGCCGAGAGTGCTATGGAATCTTTCTAGCTGACCATTTGATGTACAATGGATTGGTGGTGCGTTAATAATTTGGACGTTATATTTATTGCTTAAGAGTGATTTTATTGCTTCGGGTTTTATGGAAGGTTAGTTGTCACAGTATATTGTTTTGGAGTAGCGGTAAATCATTAGCTGCATAATTGCTAATAGACAATAGCAAAGGTAAGGAAATATTTCTTTTTAGTCGAATATACATCGATATGTAGCATTTGGCAAACTTTACAATTTGCAAAAACTTCGATTACCAGTTTGGTTAGTTTTGGGAAAAAAATAGTCTTGTAGAATTTGTTTTACATATTCCTGGGCGGCCCTATGGGCCCTATTGTGTTCGAAAACAACTGACTGGAACGTCAAATTGACCTCAGAATTGCGACCATAGACAGCCAAGTCGGAGCATTCTAAAACCGCTTACAGCGACACTGCAGCCGGGTAGCCAAAGACCTCGTGGGGAGGTGTTACGTAACAGCCTTATTCAAATAGGCCGCTTGTCCACGATAAAGCCTGAGGACCCAACCAGGCTTTGCAAAACATCATCTAAGCTAACTGCGTTGTCATACAAATTTAACCTTTTTTAATTCTATACAACAATTGGTTTAAAAAAAAAAACATTTTTAGACGCATTAACCTCCTTAAGCTTCTCGAATGCCTGACACTGACTTTTGTCAAAGTTGGCTGGTAATAACATTTAATATCCGGCGCTTACCTTGCCATTTTCAAAAATCTGCAGTAACTTGCCATCCCAAGGAATGACCGGACATTGAACAGTGTGGATGTTCGTAATTACGAATTGCTTCCACTTTGTTAGGGCATGTTTTTATACCTCCACGTGAAAGGACGAAACCTATGTATTCAACGCTATCTTAAAAAAAAAGAGATTTTCGCGGGAAACCCTCGTGTTGGCTTCGTAAAATTTATTTAAGACCCATGCGATGCATCTGACATGGTTATCTATGTTTTCCATAAAGATAATTTTCTTGTCGTCGTAAACGTATCATAATCCGATTTGTTATTGAGCACATCGTCAATGGCTCTCTGAAAACTACTGGGTGCATTCTTCAATCCAAAAGGTAGTCTGCATATTCATACTTCCTATTTCCTTCAGAAAAAGCCGTTTTCCCTGTCGATTTCCGCTAGTAAGATCTGATGAGAACTGTATTTTATATTTTGGATCGTAAAATATTTGGCTTTGCCTACTTTTGACATTTTGACTACATTGGTTAAAGGTATTTGTCGCTCATAAGTTGAGTTTTCTGAAATCTATTAATAAACGTTTTTCGGAATTCCCTCTTTCATCACCAAACGGTGATGTTATAGGATATTGTATTTTAACAAAGCTTGTGTTTCTAAATTTACAAAGTCTGATACGCCCATTGGATAGGGGTATAACTTTGAATATATGGACTCTTCATTTTCTTTCCGAATACTATGTTGTACTAATGTTGTATCGGAGTGCCTTATTTGGTTCTGTTAACATTAGTTGGAATTTTTCTATTACCTCCTTAAATACCACTACATCCTCAACCTTCATAAAATTCACGGTTGACTATTTTAAAAATTGAATTATTTTGGCTGTGAGCTCGTAGATTCTTGTTTTTGAAGTCGAGTAAAACGTCAAGCCCGATTATTCTATTAAACGTTGTAAGGTGTGATAATAAGATTAATGACATATTTGGGTTTAAGAGGTGCACCACACAATTTTGGGTTATGGCATTATAGCCATCGTGTAGGTCATCCGGAGTGCGGATGTCTGCCGTGTACAAGTTGTAGAGAAAGGGGCCCAGTACGCTGCCTTGAGGGACACCCGCCTTCATTTTGCGAACAGGAGAGATTGCTGCTCTAACTTTGACTTCGATCGGCCTGTCGGTCGAAGGCCTGCTTAACGTCTACAAAGACCCCATAGCAGAAGTCTTTGTCGTCGTAAGCCTTAAAAATATGGTTTATCACTCTGTGAACCTGTTCAACAGCGCCATGCCCTCCCCTGAACCCAAATGGGAGATCAGGAAGGATGGCCATGTGATCCATAGGCCTTGCAAGTCGGGCGACAATCAGTCTTTCCCAGGCCTTCGACAAGGAAGGCAGGAGACTGATCGGCCGATATGACTCAGGGTCATATTCCGGCTTGCCCGACTTATGGATCATATGGATCCTTGCTAACTTCCACTCGCGAACCTTTGCGTTGATGATTTTCTCTCTGTGGCGGACCACTTTGTTTGTTTTGAGTTGGTCTGTCTGAAATTAGATGAGGTGTCGACGCCCATTGTCTGGACTTGCTTGGGTGGGAATCTCTGCCTTTTATTAAGGTGAAAATTTTTGCCTTGTTGGTTGTTGGTTGGTATCAAGAGTCTGTTGTTTTATTTTTGTCCTTCTCTATTATCTTTGTTCAGATTTTTTGACCCTCTTCTCAAGACTTCAGGAAAAGTTGATTGCGAATATACATCGCTTGTAGTTATCTTCAACCTGCTGAGATAATGCTAAAGCGGAAAAAAGATTAGACGGTCCTTTGGAGAAAATATCATCGCTTAACGACATTCTAGTTCCTGAAACAATATAAACGTAGCCCGACGTAAACGTAGCAGATACACTGCTGTCGTAGGTCATGATTGTCTTGTTTTTTTTTTTAGCATAGGTAGCTTATTCTCTACTTCGTCGTAGTATCGCAGTAGAATCATATTTCATTGACGGAGTGTTGTCTTTCTGGCTCATTAAGATATATCTGTCGTTTGTCCGCGTATATAAACTGAACAAATAAAATTTAAAATAATAGGCAATAAAGCTACTTCTCCAAAAGGTTTTATTGTTTCTCTAGCCTATCTATAATTCGCCACTTTGACTCAGCTAATTCTCCATCGTCTGGAAGTGCGCGAACAGAATCATGCTTCACAAATCCGAATAGCCTCCTGATATTCTGAATTGCAGTTTGCCTTCATGCTCAGTCATGGCACCTCTCATCAGCTGCACCGAGTCTACAACTTTGTCCCAAAGGACGAACATTATGATAAAAACATTTCTTTCTAATAGGACATTTGATGTGATCTAAAAAGGCCTTGCATCCACAAAGAAGATGATTGGAGCAGAAGTACTTCAAGGAAGCTTATAAGAACCGAAACAATATAACCTCTTCATCAGAGATATGACATGTTATCAGCAACGGACGACCCTCAGGAGTACTTAAAGCGATTCGAAAATTGTTCATGGCGGTGGTGTAGCTCAATAAATCTTGAGAAATATGCCTACGTCATGTACGCTTTTAGGAAGGACACGTGTCCTAGTATGTTCCTTCAACTTCCTTAAAGCTAAAGCTACACTACATTTATGTGAAGAGTAAATCAAACCAGCATATTGATCAAATTATTAATATCACCTTTATTTTTATCTTTGCTTTTACAGGTATCCTGGGTCCGGCATCGGGATATACATCTCCTAACCGTTGGTCGTTATACGTATACATCAGACCAGCGATTTGAAGCAATGCACTCGCCACATGCCGAGGACTGGACCCTTCGTATACGTTATGCCCAGCGCAAGGATTCAGGCATATACGAATGTCAGATCTCCACGACACCACCAATTGGTCATTCCGTCTATTTGAATATTGTGGGTGAGTAGTGAATTAGTTAACGTACTTTCAGAATTGATAATGATTCGGATAAAAGCTACTGACAAGATACTCAGTTTTAAAGGTTTCGCGAAACTTTGAATAGCTCCGTTTTTTTGTTGCAGGACAGATAAGAATATCACATAGGAGCTATCAGTCAAATATTAAGTTATGGTGTTAAATATGTATTTGTTTCTCAAAACATTTGAATTCAACATTGACTAGTTATACTATGCTCCTTTAATATGAGAAAGCTCTTATGGGAACAGTCAGTCGAATCAGTTACTCTTTTCGCAATACTTATCACTGTTTAGTTGAATTGGGGGTATAAGATTTGGTGGGTAACGTTTCAGATTTAAACTCAATCCCGAGGATCTTTATTTTACTTAATCAAATTTTCCGCCGATCAGTTAAAAACTTAATTTCAATTTCCAACTTAAGCAACTTTAAACTATAAATTGGTGGAAAACGGTTGAATGAAAGTTTTTTGTTTACCATTCGATCGGCAAACTCAGTGTTAAAGATCTTATATGGGTTTCAAACTTTTCGCAAAATCCACACATCTTCAAAGGTTGTATGAACGAATGTTTTTTTTGTAGTTTAAGCTTCACATCACGGGTCCAAAATAGGCAGAGCAACGTTGAGTCAAACTTTTGGTGCTTTATATGATGAACTTGAAATATCTATGCAAATATCAACATAAGAAGTGGAGCACATTTGGTGTCTAAATAACAGGGTTCAGGGTATCCCCTAGTCGGGAGCTCACGAATAGAGCCTCCTACTTGTTATAATTCAATCGAAAATTAAATTGAGCTTGTGAAAATTGTCATTTACAAATTTCGTTAATAGTCTTGGTTCTATTATCAATTTAACAGTAATGTGCTTCCACTATTATGCTTGCGACTACTAGGAAGGCCGGTGATTCCACGGCGACCGACTTGAAAACAATAATTGTAATAGAGTTTACATCGGCAAAACTAAATGCAAACTAAGAACAAGTAAGAGGCTTACGAAGAAAACAATACAATCGCAATTGCAATGCTGTTGATAGAATTAAAAGAAGACGCGCATGAATGTGTGTGTGTACATGTATACAGAAATTCTTGCAATTTGCGACTGCAAGTAATGCGGTCAGTTGCGAGTTCGAACCCTGTCAAGGGAACTTTTTTTTTAAATTTATTTTTATTACTACTAAAGCAAATGCGCGCGTAGCGCGAGCTGCATTTGGTGTTGGAATAAGAGGGTTCAGGGTACCTGTTAGTCGGGAACCCCAGTCTAGAACCTCTTACTTGTTATACCCTGTTCCCATTGAAAATGGGTAAAAGGTATAATGTATTTGCGCAAATGTATGTAACAGGCGGAAGTAACAATCTCCGACCCCATAAAGTATATTTATTCTTGATCAGCATCAAAAGCCGAGTCGATCTAGCCATGTCCCTCTATCTGTCCATATGTATGAACGCAAGGATCTCTGAAACGCTAGAGATTTGAAATTTTTTAACATAGATCCTCCTAGTGCGCTCTCAGTACGAGTTTGTTTCCGATAGTCGATAAATTTCCAAGTAGTCGACACAAATCGATATCGAAATTGTATTTTTTTGACAAATCCCTTAGGATTTTAGAGCTAGAGTCACCAAACTTCACATGCATCTCCTAGAATAGTGTATATATATCAAGCATCTTTTATTTTTTAAATATCGCCTCTAGAGTTGTGTCGTAAGTAAGAAGTATAACATATTTTTTGAAACTGTAAACATGAAAATAACTGAACAGCAAATATTGTTCGCGTGCAACTGAATAGCTAAGCACAACCACTAACCAAATAGCATATAGCATTTGTGTGTGTATGTGTATGGCTAGATGCCACCGACTTTAGAGAAAAATTTAATTTGTGGGCATTTTTGCTTGTGCGGATACATACACACACAAACATTTAAACGGTACATAGACAAATTGAAAGAGCACTGAGAGTAAGCCAAAGCAGTTTCCTGTAGTGGGAGCGAGATAAAAAACAGCGATGCCGTTCTATCGCACAAATCTTTTGGATGAGAGTAAGCCTAAGCAGTTTCCTGTAGAGTAAGCGAATAAAAAAACAGCGATGCCGTTCTACGATACAGGTCATATGAATTCTTACTCTCTTGCTGTGAGAGCATGCGGGCATGTCTCGAACCCGAACAAAAACGAAGGCGACTTTGGACCAGTCGCACTTAAAACGCTTGTCACCACCAACTGTACTGTTTGTCCAGTCTATATGTTCTTTGGTTAGTGATACCAGGAATAGTACTTAATACTATTCCTTTTTGCGTTTTTACCATTATTATGTATTATAGGTGAGTGGTCGAGATTGAAAGTATTCATATATAAATACATAAGTTCGTATATACTTATTGGAGTTGCAGTTACTAATTGCTGAACTCTTTCCTTAAAATTTGGGTCTCGTAAATAAACTTCTGCTATCGCTTTGTTCGTAGCCATTGAGTTTATTTAGGTGAGATCAAAAGTAAAAAAAGGAAATTATCGTTTTGTTTTTATTTTATATTTTATCTAAGTCGTCTGCACGACTCATATATTTTTTCTTTAAGCACCTATTGTGCACTTTGTACAATTTGAAGAAAATGCTAATGCACATTAGCTCTACGATAATTTCAAGGAGAACTGTTATTATTTTTAAGTCCGGTGTTTCCACCTCAACTTTATTAATGACGTTGGCGGTGGAATCCACCGTCTTTGTGTCTATAAATCCCATGGTAGACCAAGGGAGATGAATATGGAGTGTGAATAATACCTCTGTTTTGAAGGCTTGAAATATAAAAATTTGAAAAATTAACTTGAAATTTAAAATTTTGAATAATTAACTTGTAATATTTAGACCAAAACTTTATCTTTCTTCTCCTTATTTGTGTTATGAATGAATGAATTTATAAAATCAACAGGGTAACACTTTTTAGTTTACATTGTAAACTTGGCGCTTACAATATATTACTTTAAATAAGTTTACACTTTAAAAGGTTTTGTTAGTTATTTAACTGAGACATTATTAGTGTTCGTACTTAGCGCAAGCGCAAGATAGGTACTTAAATAATTAGGCGAGGCTTGAAACTAACGTTTGTTAGTCCGCTTCTACCTGTTTTGCAACAGGGTGTTGATCTGCTTGAGTTCCTCCTGTAGTCGCTGTTGGCGGGCGTTGTCCTCGACCCTTGCCTTCAACAGCGCGATGACAAAATGACTCCAGTTTATAAGTTAGGCTTTCTCGCCTCCTTGTTGTTTCCTATGCGTCAGCGTGCCAGCACCGGCGACGCCAAGCTGACGCTACCTCGCAGCTCAGTTGATACAGATCACTCGTTGAGTTTAGACGTGCATAATTTTGCGCAGAAGCTTCGCTTGATTTATCTATTCTGCTTTGTTATATTCGTATAAGCACATTGCTCTCTCGCTGAGACGCAACAACAAACCATTGACTGCTGATAAGCATCAATAAACTGTTGACGCTCTGTTGTTGTCACCATGAGTGACAACAACGAAGACCTAACGGTCTGGCCCTGGCAGAAAAATCAAATCCAAATAAGCGAGCAAACCAATTTTCACTTCCAGTGGCAAGAAAACTAACTGCTCTGGACACTACACCGAGCACCAGCTCTAACCGATTTCCTATTTTAAGCAACATACTGGATACGAATGGGAACGAAGATGATGGAAAGGAAACACTGGAAATGATAATTGAAGACGATATCAATAAGGCTCACAAGCTGCCACCAATATTTTTGTCCGATGTTAATAAGATAAGTGCTATGCTAATCTACCTGAATACTAAAATTAATAAAGAAGACTTCTACTATAAAAGTCAACGCGATGGACACGTACGTGTTATGGTTAAGTCTATTGAAGTATTTAGAAAATTAGTCAAAAATCTTAGTGATGACTGTGTTAAGTTTCATACATAACAGCTTAAGCAGGAAAGAGCATTTAGAGTTGTCATTAAGAACCTGCACTTCTCCACGGATACTGAACTAATAAAAACTGAAGTAGAATCGAAAGGTCATGTTGTCAGACACATAAGCAACATTAAAAGCCGCGTAACCAAAAAGCCATTATTATATAATCTTAAACACATTGGTAACGCTGTTGTCAATATAAAGCCACCTTGTAAAACCAATGATATAGTGCAAAATCTTATTTCTCCAAACTTTTCAGGTGTGTAAAATGCTCTCTTAGACATCCAAGTAATACTTGCTCGAAAGACAAAGAATTACCAGCAAAATGTGCCAACTGCCTTGAAGATCATGCCACTAGCTACAAAGGGTGTAGAATTTATCAGGAACTTCTGTCGAAAAAGTCGGTAACTGATCGGAAAAGCCTTAGAAACAATACCCGCGAGAATAAAAACGTCTACGGAACATCACAAAGCTTTGCCCCGCCCAATAAATCAGCCTCAACCCAACAATCCAAAAATAATCAAACCTATGCCCAAGTTTCTGCAGGAAATAATACAAATAACTCTCTTGACAGAATAGAGCAACTTCTAGAAAAACAATTTGAGCTCACTAATAATTTACTTAATATGATCATGTTACTAGTAAACAAGTTATGCAAGTAAATCTAAATATCGGAATATGGAATGCCTATGGGCTTTCTAACCATGGAAATGAAATATTTTTATTTTTAAAAACCAATGAGATTCACGTCATGTTAATATCTGAAACTTATTTTACTAACAGATCATTCTTTAGAATGATTGGATATGAAATAGTCAGAGCTGACCATCCGGCCGGTAGAGCTCACAGAGGCGCTGCTACTCTCATTAAAAACGGTTTAAAGTTTAAAGGGAAAACGCTATACAAGCCACAATTGAGATTAAATGTATACATGGAGATGTAACAGTCACAGCGATTTACCTCCCCCCAAGGTTCGCACTTAAAGAAACTGACTTTTGCAACGTTTTCCAAAATTTTGGAACGAAGTTTATTGTTGGTGGCGACTTCAACGCCAAACACCCATGGTGGGGC